ATTATTACTCGTATAATAGCCCTTGACAATGTTTTAAGATGATAGGTGATGATAATATATAAAACTACATTGTTAATAAATAATGTGTGTCATTTGCCCATACAAGAGATATCATGCATTGTGATAATTATCATATGATGACAACTAGCATTAATAGTCACAAGCCATGGATCAATATATGTGAAATATGTAATTAATTTAGTGGAAATATTTTGACATGATGACCACATACAAACTTAAACATTTTTAGTTGCAAATATGCCCAAGAATTTTCTGTCACCACCTTTCTTAGTTCATAATAAATAAGATTTTCTTCTTTCTACCCATGATAGTAATCATTTAACTGACAGAAGTGGAATTTAAAGTTATTAAATTACAAATTTCATGCTACATAGCAGTAGAAGAAGAGAAGAAGAAGATGAAAGCTCCTAATTACAGCACACAATATAAATAAATAAAGTTAATACACAGCAAAGATCTGATCAAGCTCAGCTAATGAATAAAAGCTGTGAAAGCACACATATTACTAATGTTACTGCATGATAAAATATAAAATTACTTTAACTTAAATTCCTAATTATTTTTAATTCTAAGATTGATAATTGGAGACCAGAATTTCACTAGCTAGATAACAGAAGGAACTAAATTGGGCTCATCATCTCGTTCCTTCCACAAGGATTCAACTCTCAGCACTCCCAAACAGAAGAGAACTCCATCTCATTCCACAGCTGATCCATGGGGTAAACCTCCACCTTCACCTCCTCTTCTTTTTCTTCAGCCATTGTTACAATAAAGCTCACCTCTTCTTGATTCTCCATTCCATTAGAAAAAGAAGAAGAAGAAGAAGAAGAAGAGGGTGAATTTCTCTTCTTTTCTTGTGCCATTTTCCTCATATGTGTTCTCCAATAGTTCTTAATCTCATTATCAGTTCTACCAGGCAGCTTTCCAGCTATCTGAGACCACTTGTTTCCCCATTTAGAGTGGAGTTCCAGAATCAAATGCTCTTCTTCAGGTGTCATGCGGCCATGTTTTAAGCCAGGGTG